TGACGAAAGATTAGCACGCCTACACAATATTCGGGAGGTTCTGGGTTCGTATCTCAGTTCGGATGTATGTTATCTCTCTACGATTTCACATTATATGACCTATTTAATTAAAAGATGTCATTAGATAAGTTCATTCTAGAATATTTTACACACTTATACATCGGCGAGTTTTACCAATAACCGTGTTAATCGTTATAACTACTGACTTATATATCCAATGTCTGTACGCAGGATAAAGTTAGCCTCGTCAGTAACACAACTCGATACAGCGGAATCATTCCAAGTGAACACTGAAACTGCTTAAATGTCGGGGCTATAGAGAAACGTGAGAATTTCAAATCCGAATTCGCATCATTAAGAATGAAACTGTGAAGGCAAATGAAGACTATAAGATGTCTGACAATACAGTTCGCGAAGTCGCCACCGCGTGCCTGCCGCTGCAGCAGTAGACAGAAACCTCAGTATGGTGTTATGACGCTGGAAAATCAGTGTTTCACAGCTGTGTTGTTGTTGATCTATTTCTGAGTGGCCTCCATTATTGCCTGAGTGTGTTCTGATGTGCCGTCGCGAGAATATCGGAGCGAACATTAAATTTCCTGTTAAACTTGGCAAGATTTTAAGCGAAATGAGAGAGATATTAGTGCAAGTTTGCGGTAATGCTATGGAGAAAACAGCAGTTTACAAGTGGGCGGCACTTTTTTCTGAGGGAAGAGAATAGTGTCGCTGACGAAGAGAGTTCAGGATGGCCAACAACGAGCAGAACTAAAGAAAACATTGTAAAGTTCGTCAAATTATGCGTGAAAATAGTCGACTGGCTGTCAGTACCATAGCAGAGCAAGGAAACATCGACAGAGGAAGAGTTAAGAAAATCTTAAGCGAAGATCTTGGCATAAGGAAGGTGGGTGCAAAAGTGGTCCCAAAAGAACTCACTGAAGAGCAGAGTTCAGAAACATATACGAAAATTTATTGGGAATATCTGAATGAGAGAGATCACGTGGAGACCTGGGGGAAGCTAGAAGGTTAATATTATTTAATAATGCTACAGAAACTGGCTAAAGAGTTTGACTGGGTTCATCTGGCCCAGTAGTGGGACCAGTGCCGGACTCCTGTGAATAAGTTAACGGCCCCATAACAGACGGATAATTTTTGACTGGCTCGGTAAACTGCTTACTTACGAAGACGGCTCCTATTCCGTTGAACGAATCAGTTATACACAAAATAACAGAAGTTATGACGATGATGATTCAATTCGATCAATTCTTCATGCATTTACAAGCTGAGCTCAACAGACAGTAGGAAATTATAGTCAGCATGAAACAAACAACAGGAGCAATAAGAAAACCACTAGAGAGAAGAAAAAAAGAAAGAAAGAAAATCGATCGCTTGAGGTTATTTACATTTAAAAGTGAGTTCATAAAAACATCCGTGTAATTGCATGCTGCATTAACAGCACAAACATATCGAGCCGAAATGCAGTGGCTGAAGGAGCAACAGAGCACGGTGATTTTACACCGACTGCTTCGAGGAGAGATAGCCAATATTTAGTGTCATTATAGGTATAATATTGTAATTAATTTGCTCAAGATATTGCTAGGCAACGGCTCGGTAAACACGTTCCAACGAACAACAATGTAAACTGTGTCTCAATAGACGAATGTTAAAGCTCATTGATAGGCAGCAGTCAGCACGCTAATAAACTCGCTGGATAGCAACCACATGTCTTGTGTTTTCTGTGTTGTCCGTGCGGCGCCTATAACGAGGATCTGTTGTAGTGCAGTGCAGGTAAGAGTACAAGGACGTGAAAGGAGCATGTCCTTAGCGAAGTGTGAAGATTATTTGAGTACAGATTGCGACAGAAGAGTACAGAATGATTGAAGACGAAATAACAAGAAGACTTCGTAGTAATTTGAAGTACTGGTTTCTGTGTGGAGATCCATTGCCAGGAGATGAATTGTGAAGACGGTGAATTCTAGTGCGTGTGCAACAGCGAATTGAAAGTGGGTAGATTAGCGAGAGCGTTATAATTGAATGTGATTAAGAGAACTTGTAACCGAAGTGCCAATACATCCAATCATCCGATTTAGAACCCTCTATTTTCTTCACGTGTACCCACTTACACGTCACAATATTAAAAATAAAGGATCAGAGTGACGACGCCTGATAAGAAGTGTCAGCAAAATTATATTTTTGTCCATGATTTATTCTGACCGTCTTACAGTGCATACATTCATTCACCTTACTCTTCTCTCTTGCACTACATGTTTCGGCACTAAAGTGCCATCTTCAGGTGCTTTTCGATGTACGTCGAACTACTGCATTGCATGCCCTGTTGTCTTTATACTAAAATAACTAAAATATATATTCGTCATATATATTGCTAAATTTTAAATATTAAAAATGTTAAAACTGTTCAGGATTTGTCATCCTTATGTCGTATTTCAGTACGCGAGTCACACCTATCTTCTTCTGTCGGAGTATTCTTCCTATTTTCATGTGTGTATTGTGCTTTGTGTTGTGTCTTACTCTTGTGAATGCGTGTGTTATGAACAGTTTTAACATTTTTAATATTTAAAATTTAGCAATATATATGACGAATATATATTTTAGTTATTTTAGTATAAAGACAACAGGGCATGCAATGCAGTAGTTCGACGTACATCGAAAAGCACCTGAAGATGGCACTTTAGTGCCGAAACATGTAGTGCAAGAGAGAAGAGTAAGGTGAATAAATGTATGCACTGTAAGACGGTCAGAATAAATCATGGACAAAAATCAGTGCAACAGGACGCTAAAATATAACAAAATTATGTTTTCCCATAGATTATAGTAATAATAATAAATATTTTGAATAAATCTCTTGTGGGAAAGGGCTGTAAATTTTCTTCATATGCAGCGAGTAAACTTAACAGTATTTCAAGCAGCACAAGTATATTCGAGTTCAGATCCAATAAAAGCAAAATATTGCATAACTAAAATATAAAAGGAAAATGTAATCGCGCGAATTAACCCTTAACATTTGCAAGGAACGCTAAAGATAAAATCGACTTGATGATGAAAATTAAGTTTACAGTCAGTTATGTACATCTAAATCCTTAATGGAATGTGTTCGTAATCCAAGACAATTTCCAAATCTGTGTTCATAGTTAAACGCGTTCTTTTTCCTATCAAAAGTAATAACTCTAAACTTAGGGTTCATAAAATTTTCTGCACACCATTCGTGTACACAATCAGTATCTGCCCGTGAAAGCAATTAATAGCTCCACAGGCTACAAGGTCATCAACGAAGAGAAAGCAGATGGAACGCTTATTTTTATTAAAGAGTAAAAGTCCTTAAAACTCACTCCTGATGTACGCCTGACTGCACGGCAAAAATAGACGGATGCACACCAGAAGAACTTACACAAGACTCTCTCTTAATTAAATAACCTAAATTGACTGGATGATGATCCATAACTTATGAGTTATGAAGTAGTGGCTCGTGTGGAATAATGTCGAAAACAGTACTAAAATCAAAGTAGACTCACTTGGACACTGTGAACAAATGAAGGGCTATCAAAAGTCACGGAAAATTACTAATATAATAATAATAATAATAATAA